GGGGTCCGTTTCAGAACCTCAACAATGTCATCAATGGTTTTTCCCTGCGCATGAATCTCCCCCATCATCGTGTCCTGTAAGTTCACGCCACCAAAAACGTAAATGTCTAAATCAATATGTTATGTTCAAATGGAAAATACAAGGGGAAAAAAACAAGGGGAGATCTTGAGGTTTACCATGAGAGAATTCCAGGGCATGGCAGGAAGAAGCTGGTTAAACAAATCGGTAAAACCCAACTCATCAACAACCCAATTATCACTATCGCAATCAATGACGGTTTTGTCAAAATCAAAAACCACAACAATCCCAGCCATTTTTTGTTTCGAAGTTGCAGAAACAAGATTGGAAATAGACAGAGAAGAGAAAAGCTCAATAACCCTTTTATTGGAAGAGGATTCTGTATATTGTAAGGTCACGTAAGATGGCAAGGGTATTTATAAACACAGAAAAACAAGTAATAAAAGGGGAAAAAATGACCTGCAGCTGTAATAAACAATGGATATTATTTTATGCCAAGGGAATATTACAGGAATGTGTTCTTATGGTAATCCAGAAGCAGCTTCATTAATCCATCTTCCAATGTACATTTATTTATTTACCGTAGGAGCAAAATTATGTGGTCCATTTGATGACTTTCGTCTTGGAAACCTGAAATGAGGAGGAATAAGCGAATATTCCTATGGGAAAGGAATTCATTAGGCCACCATTGACGACGCGCATGCATGCCCACGAATCACGATCCGCGTAGAATATTCGGGGTATTTTCTGTGGGTGTGTGATTCTTGAGTTTTACTTCATGTGGCTGCTAAGCTTTACAACCTTTTTCTTTTCGTGTGAAAAATACCTAACCATATGAAAATAACAAAACTATAACGCAATGGTAAATTTAATACCTTACTTAAATACCGTAGCACAACAAAGTAAATGCATAAAATAAATTAAGGTTATTTGATTAATAAATGAATCATTGTTTTTATAGATTATATTTTAGTCGTTAATTGAAACGTATCATTGATTAGAAATAGTGATGATGCATGACATAATAATAATTTTAGTTTATATAATTTATATGTTCTATTAATTTAATATTTTAATTCAAATAATTCAATAAATTTAACTAATTATTGCTTTGGTTTGATAGACTCGATTAATTTGATAATATTATAAAAATATTAAACTAATAGAATTTTTAAATTTGAGAAGTTAGATTTGTTGAATTATTTTAAATTAAATTCAAAATGATATAATATATAAAGTTTTAAATTAAATTTTTTATTATACTAATTTTGTATTAAACATTTATTTTAATTTTAACGATAAATAATTTATTTACAATAGTTTTTAATTAAATTATATTTTTTAGAAAATAAATTATTTATTACGGAAACACATAATTAAGTAATTTAGATAGATGTAGTGTACATTACCCAAAGTAAGTTGTGGGCTTCAAGTTTTAGATGCCAATAAAACTGGTTCATTAAATAGTTTTATTTTTGTAGAGCAGAAAGTTATAATATTTAATTAAATAATTTTACAAAATAGAATATACAAATACACTTTAGTTTGGGTGATAAGGAATTTGGGTGTGGGTTAAACTTTTTTAAAATGTAATTATTTTAAAAATATGACTAATAAATATTGTATAGGCTATATTGAACAACCAGATCGGGGCGGGTCAAAATAATGTTACTCGAGGCCTGGTTCGAATTAAAAATGGGCTTATTTTTCAAGTTTCAGTTTTTGTTTGGGTTTTTATCCCACATTTTAAATGAACTTTTGAATTACATGTATGAATCAACCCTTTAACAAGTCTACTTGTAAGAAACAACATTCCAACAAAGAATAAAATTCAAGAAACCATTAATGAAAGGAGAGCATATAAATTCGTTACAGATCTTGTACACTTAAACCATGGACATTTGAACTAAATTTATTGGTTTCAATTCTTCAGATCTTACGGGATTGTGTTTTTAAAGTTTAGTATAAAAATAAATGTCCAAATCATATTCTTTTTTCTCATTTAAGTGTTTAAACTATTTTTCGATCAATCCAAGTGGCTAACGTTACAAATGTTACCATTTTAAGTGTCTCAGTCGTAACTGTAATTAAAATTTTTTGTTAAGTGACACATTTCGTATTCAAATAATTTAAAAAAATTCATTTTAAAAAACTTAAAATTTTTATTATATTTAAAAAATCCTAATTTATTCAAAAAAAATCTTTAAAAATCCTAAAATCAACCATAAAATCCCTAACATTATCCTTGCAATTCCCTTGTTGATCACGACCATCGTCGCCATTACCTCCCTTGCCATCTTCATGGTTAGTTGTTATCTCCTTTACTGTAAGTCGTGCCACCGAGTCTGGTGGATTGTCAAGGTCGTAAATTTTCAAGTTTTTTTTTTAAATGTCAGCTCGCGATTTTTCTGTCGATGTTTGGGGTTTAGCTCATTGAGGTCTTGTCATTTGGTGGAGGTTTATTCAAGTGGAGGTTCGACCGATGAAAACTACATCGGACAACATGAGTATTGTGATTAGAATTAGTTTTTCCCATCAAAGTTTTGGTTTTTTTTAAGATTTGAGAAAAATAAGTTTTTAAAAAAAAATAAAATTTTAAGCTTTTTTTAAAAATAAAATTTTTAAAAATTTGTGAACGCGACACGTGTTACTTAATGGAGTATTTTTAACATCATTACGCCCGACACACTTAAAAATGGTAACGTATATATTGTTAGACACCCTTATTGACCGAAAAAATTAGACACCTAAATAAAAAATATATTATAGTTTGGACACTTATTTTTATACTAAACATTTTTTTATTTGAATCGGGTGAGTTTTTGAAAGAGTGAAGTCTGGTTAGATCACGTTTGAATTTAAAATAATTGATTTTTATTTGATATGAAATAATTTTATAATAATTTATTATAAATTTAGGTACAATTTACAATACACATTTTTTTTAATTTTTTCAATTATGTCTCCTTTTACCTAATAAAAATGATTATATATGTGCTCATATCAAATTGGGTCAAAATTTTTATATGTGTCATATACTTTTATCATATATAGAAAGTTACGGGTTAATCGTTCCATTTCCTAGCAAATTCCCTTGGGTAAATGGCAGGTTTGCATTGCGTATTTAGGTAATGCATTGAGTACCGTTTTGACCAGTGTCGCTCTACCAGCCAGTTTGGCTTTCCAACCGGAGAGACGATCCCGAATATTTTGGATAAGGAATTGGTACGTGTCATGCATGTGTAACTCTCTTGTGGAGTAGAGGATCCCCTAGGCACACTGGCGGGCAATATATATTTTAAGTGGCGATACTCAAATCTTAATTTTTTTAGTTAGTTCTTTATTTTACTAAAAATATAAATCCTGAAATATTATTTGTGCTCATCTTAAAATTTTAATTGTGGTCACCTATTCAAAACTGTGTTACTAGTGTATGTGTGTTCACCCTCAAAAATATTTTTGAATATGTTATTGTCTAGGTAATTTTCGAGTTCATCCACACACTTGAATTTGAATCTAGATACTATATATTATTGAATAGTCAAAATAATTATAAGGTAATATCTATTTAAAATTTTCTTAACTAATTTGATAACTTACACAACTACATATTTAACTTTTTGAATCTAAAACTTTAAGTAAGAACATTTTTGTTTATCATTGAGTTTATTATTTAAATTATTAAACGCTTAACTAAAAATAAGTACTTGAACTATGTTTCTTTTTTGCTTTAGGTACTTCAATTATTTTTTTATCAAATTAGGTACTTAAACTATCACATTTAATGATTGTAAGTCCTAATATTTTTCAATTAGAAAATTATTTTTTGACCAATAAGATGTTGACATTATTTAAAATTATGTACTTTTTTATCAAAAAAATATTTTAGGGTCTTAAAGAAAAAAGTATAGTTAAAGGACTTATTAATAATTGAGGTGCTTAAAATTGTTTACATATAATAATTTAATAATTTAAGTATCTAGTTTGATAAAAAAAAAATAGCTTAGGTACTTAAAGAAAAAAATAACACAATTTAAGTATTTTTTGTTTAAATAATTATTAAATTATAATTATTTTAAATTATTTAATAACAATAACAACAGTAATAATAACAATAGTTATTAGAGTTAACTACATAGATAATTATTTATGTTTGTGTTTTGTCCAATTTTGATTATTGACTTCAAAATACACAAGATATGATCATCTTAATTTTTTATTTAATTAAAATATGATCACATTCGTTCTTATTTAATTAAGATGTGGTCACCACGAGTTAACTGCCGCTAAATATTTTGGTATAATTACACATTTGGTATCAGTTATTTACATATTCTCTCAATGTAGTCATACTTTTAATAAATTAAAATAAATTTAATCCTCTAATTGAATGATGTCACATGTCATTGATATCACGTGTCGTGTTTCGTCATTCAGTTGGAAGACTAACTTTATTTTATTTTAATTTAACAAAGCAAAGCAAATTGGTGGAAAATAAATATATTTAATTAAAATAAAGTTAATCCTCCAACTGAATGATGACACGTGGCATCAGTGACACATGACATCATTCAATTGGAGAATTATATTTATTTTAATTTATTAAAAGTGTGACTAAATTGAGAGAATATGTAAATAATAGAGACCATATGTGTGATTATACCAAAATATCACATCACTTAATCTATTAAGTGTTAACAAAATTTAACATGTGGTGATCGCATCTTAAACAAATAAAAACAAAAGTGACCATATTTTAATTAAATAAAAACGAAGGTGATCATATCTTATGTATTTTGAAATCAGTGACCAAAAGTGAATAAAATACAAACATAAATGATCATCCGTGTAGTTAACCCTAATTATTATAATAATAATAATTGAAACTCCATAGAGCTTGCCGTGTAATTTTCCATTAGAGACAGTCGCAGTTAAAAGGAAAAGGACGCGCACAAAATTGGAACAAAAGTAGAATACATAAGGTCGTCTCTCGCAGTCGCAGTACTATTTTCGGCTACTGTATTCCTCTTCATCGTTCTTTCCCTTCCGCCGCTAGAAACGGCCACGCACCGCCATTCTTTCTATTTATATTCGTACAAACATACTTGAAAATTTACGTATGCACACAAAATTTTCATGTCACAATAACTTGAACACAACAAATCTAGTAAAGCCCTCCCTCAAAAATAATGTACGGAGGTCCCTCGAAGCTCGGCCGCGGTGGGGGCGACGGACGTGGGAGCGGAGGCCCTCGGAATCGCTCTTCATTTCCTCCGCCGCGACACCGCTCTTCTTCTGCCACCCAATCAGGCAGGCTTCCCCTTGGCTCCGCCCCTCGTAACCGCCCCGGTAATGGGGGCGGTTCAGGACCCACACCGTCTGTCGAAGAGAGCTTTTCGCTTGTTTCTGGGAACAATCCGTTAGCTTTCGCGATGATTATAAGGTTGGCGCCAGATTTGCTGGAGGAGATCAGGAGGCTCGAGGCTCAAGGAGAGACGGCCAGTATTAAATTTGATTCAATTACGACTCATCCTACTGGGAATGTGAGTTCCTAAACAAGAATTAAGTTGTGCTTGCACATTCTCTTTTAAAAAAAATTATTGCTATTTATTTCGAATTGTGTTTTTTCCTCGGAGTTGGAATTTTTTTAGAGATGAAAACTAGTGGGATACTTATGCTGTTCGATTAAAGTTCATTTGGGTTAAGCCTAATTTTTATTTTCTTAGACTGTACTTTTAATTTCGATGATTTAGGGGGATAAAAATCAAAATTTGACTCAGTTTATCCTAAATATTCTTATTTTTGAAATGTTTACAATGTTCATTTTAATATTTTGGATTTTCAGTTTATGTTTTTATTTTTATTTTAGGGTTATCTTTTACTAGCTATCTTTTGGTCCTCTGAATTTTGCTTTGGGTGTAACTATGTCAACTTTGTGTGGTCATACTTTTAATTGGTTTCCTACTGTTTATGGAAATTTTAGTTGCTTGATAGGGTTTTCAACCTTTTTTGGCTTCAAATTGGGCGACTTAATGGGTTAAGTTGCGAGTTCTGTTATGGTGATTGTAAGTCACATTCTGTTATTTTATTTAGATTCATTTTGGTGGTTTGTTGGAATATTTTTAGGTAGATTGCATGATTCTGCTGAGTTTGCTTGTTCTTTTATCACTGAGTATGTAGTATTTTTTCTCTCTTGATTCTGGACTTCTGGTAGGCTAATGGGGAGTTGGATCTATTTCGTTTGCGTAATCCCTACAATGTCTTGAGTCCAGTGTGCCATGATATTTTTTCTTTAAATGTGTATATATTCAATCTCAATATACTTTCATTGTTGGTTAACTTTTAGTGTATGTCTATTTAGCTTTTATTTTCGAAATTGGTGGTTCTTACTTGGAATACGATATTGATTTTCAAGTATTTTTCCACAAGATGTAATAGGGTTCACTTTAGATAGGAGCAGTTATAAAACATGGAAGTTCAATGCAGAATTGTTCATGGACCAAAACCTCTAAAAATATGCATTTGCAGAAAAAGCAAGCTAACCTGGCCAACTTGTTTAAAATGATGGGACTATCTCTATCTGCCAATTTTGGTGTTTCTTGTGTATATAAAGAAGGTTGTATTATTTATATGGTCAGTTTGATGGTAAATAAATCCTGCATATCATTGGTACAAGGGTTTAGTGCGGGATGGATTAAATTTGATTTTGATGCATTATGTTTTCTGCAGTACCTTTGCCACTCTATTTTTATGGACTGCATCAGTGGTTTCTACTTGTTTTGGGTGCTTTTAAAATTATGCGGAAAATTCTCATGATTGATTAATGACCTTTATGGGATGATAGATGGTTAATTAATTGGACTATAGAAAATTGGTTAAAGCCTCAGAATTTTGTTAATTTTCTTTGAGATGTTATGCTAGTAATATTGATTTGATGTTCTATCCTTGGTATGATAGTTAATGACTTGGACTACAGAAAACTGGTTAAGTGCCTGAAAGTTTTGTTCTTTCCCCCCTGAGATGTTGCTACACTAAAATCTTGATTTGATGTTCTATTCTTATTCTGAATTAATGATTATTCCCATTATTTGTTGACATTTTTGGGGAGAGAAGTTACAAGTTTCTTTTCGGTGCTCAGCTCTTTTTTCGTTAAAATACATTTTTGTATGGCCTCCTAATTATTAAAATATGTGGGTTTAATTGATGGTAGGTCATTGATGTTGGCGGTAAGAAGTTTAGGTTTACGTGGTCACGAGAACTTAGGTGATCTGTGTGATATACGAAGAACGTCAAATGGGAGAAGATGAAATGATTTGCTTGTTGAATCTGGGGGTGCATGGCGCAAATTGAATGTTCAACGTGTCTTGGATGAATCAACCACAAATCAAGTTAAGATGCGGTCAGAGGAAGCTGAACGCATGCATAAATCAGGCAAGTATGTTATTCGGATGGCTTTCTCATATTCATTGTCTGCCTAAGCATGCATATTTGTTTCCCGATTCTCTAATTTACTTGTTTGTTTATGTACACTTAAGATGATTCAGATCCAGATACTTATTCCAGCATGATTGGTTATAAAAGCAGATGTTCTCTTAGCATATAACATGATGTTAGTATTACCCAATATAAAATGACACCTCTTGATATGATAGTGGTAGATGATTCTGCACATTAATTTCTCTGCATCCCATTTTTATTAATGAAATTTGGCTGAAATTTAATAATCTACTGAAGAAACAATAATGAGGTTATTGGTATGCATAAATTTAATCCACGGGGCCCTTCTTTTATGTTTTATAATGAATGCAGTGAAGTGATGTAGTTAAGCCAATTCCCGGAGAAGCAGGCACCGCATTATCTTGAGAATTCTTCAGAACTCCTCTATCCTCTTAATCTTTGAGACCTTCCATTACGTTCGATGTTTCTCACATTGAAGCTGGCCTTCCATGTTTCACTTATACAAATAATAAACCTTTATCCAAATATCAGTTTCAAATCTATATCATTAAGTTTGGTACAAACAGCCATTGAATCTCTGAAATCACGTTGTAAACTATTGTTTCTGTCATACCAGGTTATTTTCATAATAGTTGCATATATAATTCTTCTCACGTTGCTTACTTTGAAATCAGAATTGCCAAAGTTACACATTTCTTTCTTTTACTATATTTCTGATGTTTAGGTACTTCTTTAAGATTCAGAATGGACACTAGCTGAAAAAGAACAGTCAGAAAGATGTGCATATCGCTCCATATTACAGAGAAAAGTCAAACAACATTAGAAACCCTTCTAATAAGAAGTTCTTTGTTATATTGAATTTTGCCATTTCCTAGTTTGTAGTAGAAATTTGGATTCTTTTCAATTATGTTTCATGAAATGAAGAAATGATGGCCTTTCGAATTTATCTTTTGTGTGGTTCTTTTATTGATTTTGCTGTTAAGATTTTATGATGCTACCACTTTTCTAATAGGGCTAATTTTATTGTTTTCATCTTTTCCTTTTTGGTGTTGATATAGAGCCATTATATTAGACCCTGGAAACCCATCTATGAAGAATCAAATCAAGCAATTAGTTGCTGCTGAGGGTAAGTTTTTCTTCGTGATATTGTGTTTGCACCCCATCCCCCTCTCTTCCTCCATACACTGTCTATTTTTGTCTTTTCTAACATCCAGCAATGTAATAAGCATCACAATAATGGTATGCCTGGACTTGGGTCTATTTCAGATCTCTTCCCTTTCATATCTTATAATGTATATATATTCACATGATTTTCTTTGGGGTAAATATACATTTTGGTACATGAACTTGGCTTCAAAGTTCAATTTGGCACCTGATTTTGTCCAATTAGGTATTTGAACTTGGATTGTGTTATACAAGTTATCCCAAATTCTCCATTAAAATTTTTAAGGGTTAAGGTTCAATTTGGTACATTTTTTGATAAGAATATTAGGCCTTATTAAAAACCCCCTTCATGATAAGGAACTTGAAAAATAGTTCCTTAATCAGCGGAAGGAGGAAAAGAGTGCCCTAGGATTTCATTAACAACAATATCAACATAGGAATACAACACCTAACTCCCTTAAGGAGATAAAAAAACCAAAAGGAACATCCTTTGAAAATAACATGAGGATTAACCAATGTCAGCCTTAGCTAGGACATCTGCCTCTAGGTTGGCAGTCCTATTAACCCATCTAATAACGCCTTCACAATCTCTGAGTTTTTGAATAATATCTTTAACAATATGAACATAAACAGTAGGACAAAGAACAGCGTCCTTAACCCAGTCAACAGCCACCCTACTATCACTCTCGATAATCAAACGTTCCTTATATCTCTGTCGAATAGATTCAAAGAAAACCAGACCCTTTAGGATAGCTTTCAATTCCATCAATGTAGGAGGCCCTGGACCAGCAGGCTCTTTGAAAGATGCTAGGATCAAACCAGATACGTCTTTAAGAACACCACCTAAACCACTCCTCTTCCAATCACTAGTAGTAGCAGCATCCACATTAAGTTTAATAAAACCATTTGGTACATGAACTTGGTTTTGTGGTTTTGATCCAAGAAGCCAAGTTTAGGTGCCAGTTTGAACCTTAACCCTTAAAAATTTTAATGATGCTATATTTTGGGTAACTTGTATAACAGAATCCAAGTACCTAATTGGAGCAGAAAAAAGTTCAATTACCAAATTCAGGAACCAAAATATACTTTTACCAGTTTCTTTTTGTGGTCTTACTCTTATGATGCCCGTTTTATCAAGATGATATCTTAATGTTGCCTTTTCAATCATGAAATCCTTAAGTAAAGAAGATTACTCTTACGTGTAATTTTAGCCCTTGGGCCTCACTCACTTTAGTGAAACAGGACTTGCTTGCACAATACCTACTAATAGATAATAGATCAAAATTTCCATAAATTTTTTTTCTAAAAGTAATTGTTGGCGGAGAACATTTAAGGTTAAAAGATGTCAATTATTAAAGCATGAATGTTCTTTGTCTTTCATCTCGTGTTTGCAGCTAGTCCATGGAAGTCCCATTTTAAAAAGGAGATTTCTTCTAAGAAGGGTAGAGTTGAGACACCTCGAGGTAAATAATTTGGATTTCATTTAAATAATTAAATATGAAAATTACCTTTTTCTATTTTTTGTTTCTTTTGCATAGTCTCTCCAAAAATTAATAATATGTGGGAGGTATTGAGATTATACTTTGATTAGTTGCAGTTTGACATTCTTTTTCTTCTGTTTACATTTGTTTACAAGTGTTATGGCAATGTATGTATGCACCAGCTGCAGTTGGAAGCCCTTCAAAATCTGGCTACAAACCTGGTTTAATTTCGGCCGCTGCTGCAAAGGGAAGACATTCATCTTCACCTTTACCATCTCCACCTGAGCGCTCTGGTGCTGCAGCATCTCCAGTTGCAATTGGAAGTGCTACCAAGATTCTTGCAAGCAGTGAGGATGTTATTCCTCCCCAGGTGAAAAGCAAAGAAAATATTTCTTCCAGCTCTGAGAAAGAAATACTAACCAGGGCTACTAGTGTAGTACGTGAAATGCAAGAGCGCAAGGGAGGACCTAAGCCAACAGAATTGCAGAGTCTTCTTATCAGTCTACTGAAGGAAAACCCCAAGGGGATGAGCTTAAAGGCAAGAGCTAGGGTTGACTAAATGTTTTAAATTAACTGCCCTTCTTTTGCTATTATGGCATGCGGTTGGGTTGGCTGTTACTTTATTTTTGGGTCATTTTATCTCTTAGCCTCTCTGTCTCTCTGAAATGGTGACAGGCCTTGGAGAAAGCTGTTGGTCATACAATTCCAAACTCTGCACTAAAGATTGAACCCATTTTAAAAAAAGTAAGTGATGGATCCTTGATGCAAAGTATTTTTTAAAAATGACATGTAAGCTTAAGTCTCCCTTTAATTTTGTGCATTAGATTGCAACTTTCCATGCTCCAGGAAGATATTTCTTGAAACCAGGAGTGGGGTTGGAAAGCTTGAAGAAAGCATTGCTTGAAAGTGGAAGGTACCCGTCATTTTCATTTCCAGCGGGGTTCATTTGAACAGTTGTAATTGAATTGAATTGAATTCTTGTCATTTTTTTCATCTCTATATTTCATGATTTGATGTTCTCATCATATGACTCAGCGCAAGATTTCAATAGGAAAGTTACTCTCTATATATAGATAGATGTAATCTACTAGGAAGGTATGACCATTAAGAGAAGTTATCATTTAGGTGACTTGGAGAATCGCATGTTTTCATAATATCCAATATTAACCAATTTATTTTCCTTTTTGAGGATCTCATCATGCCATAAACAATTTTTGGAATATCATTCCATAAATCTTTTGCTTGATAATTTGAAACTAAAATTTCTTTTTAGTTTCTACTTAATGATCATATTGCATAATTATAAGTAAAGATGAGTACATCAAAAATTGCTTGGTGTCTCTTCTAATTATCAAAATCCCTGGTCATTCTTTGTTTTTAGTTTCTTATATAAAAGCTTATCTACATATTATGTAAAACCCTGGTCATTCTTTAATTTATTTTCTAATTATACGCAGCCTTCATCTTGTTTGTCTCTATTTTGCAGTTCGCCTGAATATAATCCTAACGAGACTACAGCTCCTGAAGAAAACCAAGATCAGACATCAGGTCCAGCATCATTATCAGTGGAGAAAGTTAGTCATGATGAAATGGAGAAACAGACCCATTTATACCCAAAACTTACCGAAGAATCGAATGCATTGGAACAAATTGACATCCAACAACATTCACCTGATTTGGGTGGTGAGAGAAATGTTTCTGAAAATAGTGAGGGGCCAGCAAATAGTGCTACTGACAGTGGCAGTGATAGTGACAGTGACAGCAGTGACAGTGGAAGCCACAGCAGGAGTGCAAGCCCGGCAGCAAGTGGGAGCGGTAGTAGTGAAAGTGATGCTTCTTCCAACAGCAAGCAAGGGTCTGATGAGGATGTAGATATAATGACAAGCGACGATGAGAAAGAGACTAAGCAGGATATACCAACATGTGAACCAGGACTTTTGTCTTCACCTGTACAATGTCAGGCAGAACTTGACAGGTCCCTGCAGAACGGAATGGATGAAAATCAAGATGATGGATCTGATGCAATTAATATTGAAGACAATGGATCGGATGCTGTTGACATTGAACAAGACTTGCCTGAAGATGAACAGGAAACTGGAAGGGCTACCAACACAAACAAAGAATGTGATAAACATGAGGAAGGGACAAAACCCTCGTCATCTGATCATGATGAATTCCAGGAGCCCCAAAACTTCATAGGGAATTTGTTTGATGATACAGAAAACATGGTTACGGATAGCATCAGAAATGAACAATCTGATTACTCGGTGAAGAGCAAAGGTAAATGTAAAAGGGGATCTGATTCGAAGCACATTTATGAGAAGTCTGAGCGTTCTAAAAGATTGAAGTCTGAAAGCATGTCTCAGCAACCTGTTTCAGGGAGTAGAGATGCAGAGTTCTTTAGCAGTAGTAGACCCATAGATGAGCCTTACCAAAGCTCAAATAAAGGTTACATGGAATATGCCGACTCTCAAAAGGGATACAATCAGGTGTTTCCCAGGAAATATAGTACAGATTTTCATCAATCAGGTCGTAAGTCATCTTATCCAGGTGTTCGGACTAAAGCTGTTAATACAGCTGAAAGGCCTTTGAAACATACTGAGAGTTCAGGACCTGCTAGTAAGTTCACTGAGAAAAATGTGCATGGAGGTTATGTCATTCAAAAAGATGACCCTTCTAGGGACACCCAAATTGAGGATGGTTTAGTGAATGAAAAAAGTTCACTGACAAATCCTAAAGGTGGTGCTCGAGGTAAAGATGCCGGGCCTTCTGATTTCCAGCACAGAAAACATGGTGAAACTGTTGGAAAGTCCAAGAACTCTGGACAAATTTCTGGCTCATATATTAATTCTTCTCCGAAGGATAACAGCAGGGTTAGTGAAGATAAATATCTAGCTAATGGTAAAAGCAACGTTCTCCAACGAGAGCTTTCGCAATTGGAGTTGGGTGAGATTCGTGAGCCGCTGATTGAGGAAACTCCTACACAGAAGCAAATTGAAAGTAAAGCTTCTGTTAAACAGTCAGGTGGTAGACCAAGCACCTCAGAGAACTCTAATCCCGATCTAAGCATGGGAAAACCTTTTGGGAAGGCAAATTGGGATTCAGGGAAATCATCTTCGCCTAATCTAAGTGGGCTTAAAAGAACACCAGAACATCTTGTTGAAGTTGGGTCCCAGTTTAACAGATTGGCTGATACTGGTAAAACCAAGAAAACAGACACTGATGCAAAACTGGGAGTTGGCCTGGAGGATTACGGTGAAAGCCATAAGAAAGCACCAGCTAGTGCCCCGCAACAGAAGGAATCTAAACGAGTACCAGCGTCCCAGCTCATGAAGGAAAGTAAAATATCAGCAACAAATAAAATACTGGATACGACTGATACGCGAAAGGATGTGGTTCTGAAAGAGGGTAATGTAAATGGTCTAAAGAAAAGAGGTTGTTCAGATGAAGACTATTTACTTTATTTTAAGTATGAAAAAGATGAGCCAGAGCACAAAGGACCGGTTAAGGATTCATCTCAGTAAGTAGTTTTGGTTGAGTAGATGTATCTGTTAAATTTAGAATGTGGTGGTTGTGTACTTGTGTTGAATATTAAGAGGACTGTGCCATCTAATTCAAACTATTTTTATGCTAGGGATGAAGAGTATGTGAATGAATTTTGTGAAAAATATGAATCTTATAAGGACTTGGACAGGGTCCTACAAACCTACAGGTATTGTTCAAACTTCACAGTTTTTTCATTCATTTATGATGTTTGGTGGACTTTTTACTGTGTTGACTTGTTCGTTGAACTAACCTCTTAATATAGGAATGAATTTGAAAAGCTGGGTAAGGACCTCGAATATTCGAAATGTAGGGACAACGAGAAATATTACAAGACCTTGGACCAATTGATGGAGTCTTATCACCAATGTGGAATGGTAGATATTTTCTCTCTATGTTCTATGGTATATCTTTTTTGCTATTGATGATGGTATGTTTTAAGACGTGGAATCCTCTTGAAAGATTTTGTTTCACTACTGCCTGATATATTGAACTTCAGATTATTATCAAGTTACTTACTGATGCGGATGTAAAATTAAGGTCCTGCAATATGACTCTAATCTCCTTTTGCCATTTAATTAGTAAAAAGCAGGAAACAGTCTTTTCTTATTTTAAGGAGGTGTTTAGAGTTGAAAAGAACAGATAGAGGGATAAGATCATTTGCTAGCTGCAAAATTACTTCACAATGTGATCTGTTTAGAGGTTTGCACGTGATGATAATTTGGTAATAATAAACTATTGTGGTAGGTCTCATTACAGTAACTGGTGCTTTGTGTCTTGTAAGAATCACAGTGCTTTCTTTTATTTAGAAAATGCAAGGAGTCCTTTCAATCACTTGTCTAGAAGTTTGTATATAGGAAGGTGGAATAGAGGTTCCATTTCTAGAGTGTATAGAAGATCTAGAGAAAGAAAGGTGTGGTTTAATCCGAGCAGAGAAAATGGGACATTGCAACTTACGGAGTCGAATGACCACAACAGGACTAGAATCAATCCTATTATGAGTAATCTACCTATTCCTAATACCTCGGAGAGAAGACCAAATGGGAATCAGGATGAAGGTGGTTCTAGTCACAATTCGGAAGTAGACCAGTCACAGCATTCTCGGGGTATTGAAGGAGTTGTAACAAGTAATAAATCTGGATCAGTGGCAAGGAATGACAATAGAAGAACGAGAAGGCTTTTGATTAGGGAAGCACTGGATGTGGCTAGTCTCCCTACTGTGTATTCTTCAAAATTCTCACTATTTTTGGAAGAGGCTCTAGCTACATGGGAAGTTAGTAAAATGCTGGGTATCTCATTCAAAGAGGGGAAGAAGGCCTTCCTGGAAAAATAATTAATCTGGAAGAGGGATTGGCTGAATGTAGGGAAGGGGTGGATCCGGGGGAATAGGGATCTTTTGGAAGCTTTGCTTTAAGGTTTTGGTTTCATACTTGTCTTCATGGTACAGATTAAGATTATTTCATGGAACATTAGGGGTATTCATAAAAAGGAAAAATCAAGAGCCATAGCTAATATGGTCAAGCAGTATAAACCAGGCATTCTACTAATTCAAGAAACAAAGCTAGAAAATTGTTCTCAGGCTCTTAGGAGAAAGATAGGTGGTAGTCTTCTTAATGGTTGGATTTTCGTTCCAGCAGTGGGGTCTGCAGGTGGATTAATGGTGTTGTGGAATGAGAAGGATTTTGAAGTTACAAACAAACATTTAAGTGGAAGATTTATAGCCATATTTGGAAAATTTAAGAATTCAAATGATGAATGTGTGATTATTAATGTTTATGGTCCTTGTATTGACTCTGAAAAGGAGGATCTCTTCAGGGAGCTGCTGAATTTTGTAGCTGCTCAAACCGTATCAGTTTGCATTGGGGGTGATTTTAATGTGTACCTTGATCCGGCAGAGAAGTTGGGAAAGTCTCAGAACTGGTTCTATATAGATATACTTAGAAATTTCCTGAGTCAAACAAACTTAATCGATCTACCTATAGTCGGGGGAAGGTTTACCTGGTGTAATAATAGAGAAGCCTCTACTTGGGTCAGATTGGATAGGTTTTTAATTTCTGGGAATTTTCTGATTAGTTTTCCTAATGTTGTGCAAAGCCTATTACCCAGGTCTCTATCTGACCACAATCCCGTTTCGTTGGAGGAAAAAACTGTAGACTGGGGGCCCAAACCATTCAGATTTTTCAATTATCTTTTAGAGGAAGAAGGTTTTGAGGAATTGGTTAAATCGTCCTTGGGTAATTTGAGGGGGAGTAGAAAGAGAAGGGGTATATTCAGTTTTCTGCAAGGAACAAAAAGATCGATCAGAAGCTGGTCGGGCAGAAAGTTCAATGGGATTTCTGGGTCTATTGCAGATCTGGAATTGAAGATTAATGATCTTGAATTCAAGGCTCAAGCTGATGATCTTTCTCAACAGGACTGGGAGCAGTTGCTGCAGTTCAGATCGAATCTTTGGAAGCTTTATAGGATTGAAGAAAGCATATGGTTTCAGAAATCAAGGGTGAGATGGATGAAAGATGGGGACAGAAATACACGATTTTTTCATCTTTCTGCACTAAACAGAAGTAGAAGAAACGAGATTTCTAGCTTGAAGATTAACGGTTCAGAAGTCTCAGATCCGCAATTAATTAAGATGCATATTGCGGATTATTTTAAGGAATCCTATAGTTTTAAGACAACATTGGAAGTCGAGGACTTATCTATGAATTTTGCTAAGTTATCAGGGGTTCAATCCTCAAATCTTGAGGAGCAGTTTTCAGAACAAGAAATATGGCAAGCGATAGCTTCATCGGATAGTTCTAAAGCACCAGGCCCGGATGGCTTCACCATGGGTTTTTTCAAGAAATGTTGGCCTAGTTTAAAGGACCATGTAATGAAGTTTTTCCAGGATTTTTTCTTTGGTAGAAAATGGGAACATTGGGTTAATCATGTGTTTATTACGCTTATACCGAAGAAGATTAATCTGGAAAGTGTGGAGGATTTCAGACCAATCAGCCTTGTAAGTAGCTTATACAAGATTCTATCAAAAGTGTTATCTAAGAGGTTGAGTTGTTGTGTTGGGGATATCATCAGTCAATCCCAATTTGCTTTTATTCCGGGGAGACAGTTATTGGATTGCTCCTTCATTGCGAACGAAGGAATTGATTATTTGAGAAAACATGGGTTGTAAGGGGTTGTTCTAAAAGTTGACTTTCGTAGAGCATACGACTCTGTGGAATGGCCTATTTTATTTAGAGCAATGTCAGAGATGGGTTTGGGATATAGATGGTCCTCGTGGATTACTCAATGTCTGTTTACAGCCTCAATTTCGATACTTGTTAATGGGTCTCCTTCTGAGGAGTTTCCTATGCACAAAGGTCTAAGACAAGGCTGCAGTCTAACTCCTTTACTGTTTAACATTGTAGGCGAGATGCTACACTTGATGTTGTCTAAAGCATTTGAAAGGGGTTTATTTCATGGTTTTGTTATTGGGAATTCTGAAAATTCTACTAGGTTGTCTCGTCTACAGTTCGCTGATGACCTAATCATCTTTTGCCAAGCCTCTATTAATCAGATCAAGAATGTTAAAAGGGTGTTGGGGATATCATCAGTCAATCCCAATTTGCTTTTATTCCGGGGAGACAGTTATTGGATTGCTCCTTCATTGCGAACGAAGGAATTGATTATTGGAGAAAACAGGGGTTGTAAGGGGTTGTTCTAAAAGTTGACTTTCGTAGAGCATACGACTTTGTGGAATGGCCTATTTTATTTAGAGCAATGTCAGAGATGATTTTTGGATATAGATGGTCCTCGTGGATTACTCAATGTCTGTTTACAGCCTCAATTTCGATACTTGTCAATGGGTCTCCTTCTGAGGAGTTTCCTATGCACAAAGGTCTAAGACAAGGCTGCAGTCTTCTCCTTTACTGTTTAACATTGTAGGCGAGATGCTACACTTGATGTTGTCTAAAGTAGTTGAAAGGGGTTTATTTCATGGTTTTGTTATTGGGAATTCTGAAAAATTCTACTAGGTTGTCTCATCTACAGTTCGCTGATGACTTAATCATCTTTTGCCAAGCCTCTATTAATCAGATCAAGAATGCTAAAAGGGTGTTGGGGATATCATTAGTCAATCCCAATTTGCTTTTATTTCGGGGAGACAGTTATTGGATTGCTCCTTCATTGCGAACGAAGGAATTGATTATTGGAGAAAACAGGGGTTGCAAGGGGTTGTTCTAAAAGTTGACTTTCGTAGAGCATACGACTCTGTGGAATGGCCTATTTTATTTAGAGCAATGTCAGAGATGGGTTTTGGATATAGATGGTCCTTGTGGATTACTCAATGTCTGTTTACAGCCTCAATTTCGATACTTGTCAATGGGTCTCCTTCTGAGGAGTTTCCTATGGACAAAGGTCTAAGACAAGGCTGCAGTCTATCTCCTTTACTGTTTAACATTGTATGCGAGATGCTACACTTGATGTTGTCTAAAGCAGTTGAAAGGGGTTTATTTCATGGTTTTGTTATTGGGAATTCTGAAAATTCTACTAGGTTGTCTCATCTACAGTTCGCTGATGACCTAATCATCTTTTGCCAAGCCTCTATTAATCAGATCAAGAATGTTAAAAGGGTGTTGAGGATTTTTAGCATTATGGCAGGTTTGCATCTTAATTTAGTGAAGAGTAAGCTGTTTGGAATCAATTTGGAAGATCAAATTTTATCAGATTGGGCAGAACAAGTAGGTTGTTCGGTTGGTTCTTTACCGACAGAATACTTGGGTCTTCCACTGGGAGCTAAGAAAAACTCAGAGGCTCTATGGGATCCTGTCTTCAAGAATTTTAGTGCCAAACTTGCTGGGTGGAAAGCTTCTTATTTGTCATTGGCTGGTAGGACAGTACTTTTGAAATCGGTGCTAACATCTCTACCCATTTTCTTTTTCTCTTTTTAAAATGCCTTGCAAAATTGGCAAGAAGCTAAATTCTTTATTGGCTAACTTTTTTTGGGGTGATAAGGAGGATAAGCGGAGGATTCATTGGGTGAATTTGAATATGGTCTGCAGGCCTTTGAATTGTGGTGGACTTGCTGTCCTAGATTTGAATCTCACTAATCGGGCTTTATTAGGTAAGTGGGTGTGGAAATTTTTCAATTATAAAAATTCTCTTTGGAAATCTGTGTTGTGTAGCAAGCAAAGGGTTAGTTGTAATACCATGTCTATTGGAAAGGTTACTTCCACTCAATCTTCTTGGATCTTGAGAGGCATTGCAAATAATTTCACAAAAAATGATTCGGTAGGGGAATATCTTAGATCAAATGCGAAGTTGCAAGTAGGAAATGGGAAATCAATTTCCTTTTGGAATGAGGTTCCTTTAAAAATCATTTTTCCTAGAATATATGTGCTTTCCATTAATAAAGGGGGGATGGCTGTAGAGTTTGGCAGTTATGGATCGAGTGGTTGAGAGTGGAATGTACAAACTAGAAGGAACCTGAGTGACTGGGAATTGGATCAGTGGTTGGCTTTGATGACAAAACTTAAGGATTTCAAACTGTCAGACTTGGTGAAAGACTTCTTATTTTGGTCTGCTAGTGGAGATGGAATGTTTTCGGTTAAATCCTGCAGAAATTCTTTTGGTAATGTGGTTGGGAGTTGTGATTTGTGGCTTAAAGGAGTCTGGATGGGTTTTGCTCCACCTAGAGTGGAAGCTTTCCTTTGGTAGTTAGCTCACCAGAAACTGGCAGTTAAGGCAGAGTTGGTTAAGAGAGGTGTATCATTAGGGGAAGATATTAAGTGTCCTTTTTGCAAGAATCAGGAGGAAATTGTTCAGCACTTATTTATCTCTTGCTATGTTGTTTGGGAATTATGGAATAAAATAGCTAGTTTTTGGGATCTTTCGTTAGTTCTTCCTCAAGACCCTCTTGCTCTGCTTGGTTCCTGGGGTGAGTTGAGGGGGAAATCGACGATTTGGAAGTTTATTCCGGGAGTTATCTTCTGGTCAATTTGGAAAGCTAGGAATGCAATGGTGTTTGAAGGATCTACTCTTGACAGTCTGTCTTTGATCTTTACTGTTAGATTCAGGCTTTCAAAATGGTTTTTAGCAAAGTTTCCTATGGTTTATATACAGGAGGATCTGCTGATTGGTAATCATTCCCTCGCAGATGGGTTTTCTCTATCCAAAGCTAAAGATTGTCCTGTCTTTCGGTGGATTCCCCCCCAAGTTGATTTTCTAAAGATGAATGTTGATGGAGCTGCTAGGCTTGATGGCTCGGGTGGAGGTATTGGAGGTATTTTGAGAGATTGGGATTGTTGCACCCTTTTGACTTTTTCAGAGAAGGTAGGGCAAGGAACTCCTCCATTAGTTGAATTAAAGGCTATAAAAAGAGGCATTGAAATTTTTTTTGTCATCACGATGGGAATCTGTTAGGAGGTTGATTGTTGAGAGTGATTGTAAGTCGGCAGTGGAATGGGTTCAATCCCCGGCTTTGGCTCCTGATTTTTACTCGCCTATTGTTTATCAGATTTTGACTCTTCTCTTTGGTAAGGTACATTCAGTGAGGTGGATTCCTAGGGCGTGTAATGGGGAGGCAGACAACTTTGCAAAGAAATGGATAGGTTGAATGTAAGGTTTTATCAGTGGAATTTCTGGTCTAGCGAGAAGGTTTATTGGGAATAAATCCTTAAGTTTTATGTGATGTAATGTGATGAAGTGGTTAAATCTTATGTAATTCTTTATTATTAATAAAATTTCTAAGGCACTTTTTTCCTCCTTCCGTTGATTAAGGAGCTTACTTCTTAGCTTCATTAATCAAAAAGAGGGTTTTAACGAGGCCTTCCATTCCTATAAAAAAAATGCAAGGATGTTGGAGATCTGTATTTGTTCCGAAATGTCCCTGGTGTCCATATTTTACTTTAAAAATTGAAATATTTTCAGTAGGGTTTATGTTCTGATCAAGTGCTGTTTTGATTAGCAGAGACATAAGAGACTGAAGAAAATATTTGTTGTGCTTCATCAAGAACTGAAGGTCATTGCAAGTGCTTTTATTTCATCTCTTTTCTTTCTTCTCTTTCCTTTATGATTGTTAACTCGAGTGTTTCTTCCTAATTCCAGAACCTTAAGCAGAGGCTCAGAGAGTATGCCGAGCCACAGTCAACGGATTGATATTGAATTATTAGAAGCCTGTCATGTAACAGATTGTGTCCTCTATTTTCATACCTGAGCTGCAATCGGCTTAGACCTTTCTCCATCACCTTTCAGGTAGACATTCATACAAACAGTGATGTGTTGCTTTGCCTCTTGAAGAACGGAGCACTTGTAAATGATTATGGTTGGTCGTTCAAGGTGATTGGAATGGGGCCCATGGTCCTTGAAGGATTGAAGGTGTAGGTTGAACCCAAATTGGGTGTGTATAATGTGTACAATTTTGGCTTTTGGCCACCAATTTTGTTCTAGATTTTTTTGACAGCTTCGTTTAATCTTTTGCTTGCCACCAACAATTTCTTTCGATGTGTGTACAAATTATTGAAAAAGAAAAGAAAAGGATTCTTAATTATTGCTTAGACTTTTGAAAGTACAGTGATTAACTTTTGTTTTTAAACTTCAAAAGTAAATTTGCAATGTTTAAATTGGCTGTGTATATCGTTTTTAAAGATTTTTACTCAACAATTTATAATTTAACTGTCCTTTAATTTTGTTTTTCCATCGTTCCTCGCTACTCATACACAAGAAAATGAGGTGCTGAGTCGTGTGGATTCAATTCACTGATTCAACCTGCAACATTTTTCACCAAAAAATTTTGTAATCATTCTGGAAAAGAAAACGATTACAATAACATTATTGAAGATGAATTGAGATGCAAGAAAACCCTTAAATTTTCTTGATCCTTCAAGCTTTTGAAGCTCCTTCATCTCCAATTCTAGTTAGTTTCTTTCAAGTTCATTCCTCCTCTGAAATATACCCCTCATCGGCAACCTCTGTGGTAGATCCTTAGGACCTTATGCAAACGATGTAATATAACACATTGACAAGACTAAACCCTCCAAGAGGCAAACAATAATAGTCGAAACGAGCCTTGCTAAGGTTGTCAGCCACCCAACTGGGTTCCTCATTTCTCGAAGTAGTCTCGTTTACAATGTTAAACAGAGCAGTGCTCAGTAAATTTGCCACCGCCATTGACAGGAAGAATGAGGAGTTACCGATGCTTGACATGGTTTTTGGGAACTCTCGATGATAAAACCCAAATTGTCCGAGTGTTTCAACACCAAAGCTATACCCATCACGATAAAACTGTGGGAGAAGCCTCAACATTGACATATTCACCGGAGCTTTAGGCATCTTGGCATGCCCCACGATGAATACTTTGCTTAATCTGATGTTCTCAACAACTGCTGTGAGTCCCATGGCTATTACAGAGGACTAAACCGACTCCCATCCTAGTGTTGACACTGATATACACCTGTTTTCTCTTGATCTTTGATGCTATTGGGATTATCACATGCTCTTAAACAACAACCCATTGCACAGAAGTGATGTAAACAATGACGGTCAATGGAAGCGGCCGAATAGTGTTGGTTCATGTAACTAGCTTGGAGCACTGGGAAAGAGTATTTGTTTCAAGCGATTGTGATTACGATCCCCATACACCATACTGGGATCACTTTTTAAAGATCATTAAGCTCTTCGACTTTCTGGACCGTGCAAACTCTCCTCGAGTTTAAGTCCAATCCATTGGGGCCTATCTACACTTCAGTGTTTACAATAATGCAAGCTTTATTCATAAACTCTAGTCAGATAGGAAGGAGGCTTCTTTTCTTATATGAAACCCAAAGAACTTATGCGAAACCGTAAAGAGGCTGGTGCTCCTTTCTACTCAATATAGAAGGGTGCAGCAATGTAAAACGCCGGAGTGGACAACAACATTAGGAATGCACAAGTACCATATCCGATATTCCATCCATAGACTCGTATAATATGAACAACAAGAGTCAAACCAAAGGAGCCACCGAGGGATGCTGCAGCTGAAATAGCTCTCCAGGATCTTTCATTCTTGTTGGTCAATTGATCGGCACCGAATGGCATGGAACAAGGCTTAAAGCCGCCGGCTCCGATGGACTTGAAAAACAAGGCAGAGATCAGGGTAGCAATGTGGCTTGCTGTGGTGGATTTGTAGTCGTGAGTTAAAGGGTTACAAGGAGGAGGTCTTGCCTGTTGTATAACGGTTGTTTACCATAAAATTGAAACTCCCTGAAACAAGTGTAAGGTCAGTTAAGCATAACATTATATTTAACAACTATTGTATAAAACATAAGGGGTAACTAATTACCAGGAAACTGACAATCGAACCCAAGCCAATGGTAGCGAAACAACCCAAACTAGAATAAGCGAAGAAATCACCCAAAATAGGTGCAAAATTGCTGAAGCTTGCCAAAGGTTGATAAGATTTTGGCCCCCGGCAATGCTCATATGATAGTTACTCTTAAAGTAAGGCGTCATTGTTGGCACAAAGGCATAGCTATGCACTTTCTCAAGCGCCTCATTTGATGTAGTACGAACATGCAAGAAATCATTACTTTAAAGCCATTAGCACCCAAGTCCATGAATTTAGATTTTATGCAAATGTTAAAAAAAAGTTCCATCATAAAAGGAAAAATCAATAATATGCATATGCATTTGAATATTAATGTACCAATAATGAAAGGCATGGTGATGAAGCCTCCTTTTAGTACCAATAATATGAATGTCCCTTTCTCTATAGTCTTTTCTGAAGCCATATTCTCTTACAATTGCAAATGTTATAACTTAATTCGGATTAATTTCTTAGCTATCTAGTGTTGGAAGGGAATGGTATTTAAATTTGTGTTTGAGAACTAAAATTCCGTATTCATTCAATTTTGATTAAATATTTCATAAACTGAACTTTGTTATCTATGAATCACGGGAACAAAATTTTGCTGTATATTTCTCGTTTTGAGTTATTTGAAACTCATACCTGAATTATAGTTTCATTAGATTCTACAGCTTCTACAGTTGGAAAGTAGAGAGAAATTAGCAATGTTTGTTTTTTCCATACCAAAGAACTGTATTCAAAACTGTCTGTCTTAGACAAAGAGAATAGAATATAATACTTGTTATATAGGCTATCTACCTATATACCTAAGGCCTTACCATCATCTTATCTGTAATCCAATCAATTCAGTTTGCTAGCACTATCATTTTCAGTGAATTTAGATGGTATAATAGATCAACTCGATCTCAATTATAGGAAGGGTAAAGTATATAAATATTTCTCGAATTTTTAGGATATTTATATTTTAGTCATTTAATTTTTGAAATTTATAATACAATCATCAAAGTTTTAGATTATTTTCAGTAAGTCCCCTATCGTTATCTCTGTTAATTTTTGCTGAGGCGGAACTAACTCCCCCGTTAACTCTCCCATTCTTCTTCCTCTTCTTAAACTGTTCGGACCAAACAACAACATCATATCTAACATATACGTTGCACACTTCAAATAATTCAGATTCATAAAAGATTTTTGATGGGAAAAAAAAGAAAAAAAATCCAACAAAAGAAAAGATTCATCCTTTACCCTTTTTCTCCTGCAAATGCTTCAATCTCTCTTTCTCCTCCCTTCTCCTTCCACTCTCCTCCATAACCCACCATCTTCTTCCCCAACTTTCCTTCTTCAAAAACCCATTTCCCCCCATTGCATTGTCCATTTTCGGTCATTGTTAGCAGCTCAATATATCTATTTTTATTATTTTTATGTATGAAAATAAACAAAAAAAGAAGAAGAAAAAATAAATTCCACCAAAAGAAAAGATTCACCCTTTACCATTCTTCTCCTACATATGCTTCAATGTATCTTTCTCCTTTCACTCTCTTCCATAACCCACCATCTTCTTCCCCAATTTTCCTTCTTCGAAAACCCTTTTTCCCCTATTGCAGTGTCCATTTTCGGCCATTGTTAGCAGCTCAAGGACACTTAAGTACCACCACATCAAAAGCTGAAGAAGGAAATGATCCTATTGAGTTGCCACCATCTTATTCATCTTTATCTTCTTCTTCTCCGCTCGAAACGGCCACCAGAGTTTTGCTCTCCGGTGCCATCGCCGTCTTCCTGTTCTGGTCCATCAGACGACGCGCTAAGCGCGCTAAAAAGCTTGTGAGTACCCTTTCTAGTCTTTTCTAGTCTTTTATATGAAATAATAATAAAATCATGGGCGATGGGGATGGTTCTACCAAGTTGTGGGTAACGGCAGTTACTAAAACTTTGATGACTAAAATACAAATTCCTTAAAAGTTCAGACACTATTCTTATTCTTTACCCTTATAGTAATGGGAGTATTTAAATTGCAAAAGTCACGTGGAGTATGATACCAGTGAATTCGAGTTGGCATTATTACAGGAATTGACCGTTTGGCATTGAGAGTTCTATCTACAGACATATGTGCACACATGACGCCAAGACCTATACGATAGACATAGCTAATTTAATGCTCAAAAGTAGAAGTTATATTTTCCCTTGAAAACAAAAATAAATAGTCACACCTAGTCTTTTCTTCCATCTTCCTCTTCAGCATTGTTAGCATCAACATCTTGGAGTGAGAGCACGAAATGGAGTGAGAGCAGCCCAACTTGAACAAAGTAAGTTGTATTACCATGGATGAAATGGGAAATGGAGCGGTTTTCCCTTGAAAATTTAAAATTATCTTATATTTTAGATTTTTTTTATGTATTTTCTATTAAAAATATATTTTTGACCCCTAAAATTTTATAAATTCATCATTCCTAAATTTTTAAAAGTTCGTCCTCCCTTGACATAAAATATTGCGTTTGTCCTGTGTGTTACTATAAGGAGAAGATGCTAATAGGCATATCATCTGTAAAACACTTTGATTTGCAACAAACCATTAGAAAGAAGGATTAATTCATTAAAAGGATTCTACGTCCATTTTTGCATCACAAGGTGAATGTTCAATTCGTTAAGAATAGGCACACTTGTGATTCTTTAACAGTTCCCAGTCGGTAGGTTTTACATTTATATATTCTTAAAAGGTAAATTAAAAGTTTCAAGGTTACCTCCTGCTCAAGCTTTTCCTTCAAAGCTTTCAGGTCACTGGGTTGTATTCCACGTATACTAGAAAAGAAAAATGAAAAATGCAGGTTATTTTATGAAGTTAATAAAAAGGACAAGGTCCTGAGGAGTAAAGAATGCATCTTTTAGACAATATCCCAAATGCTCAAGACAAAGTCCGTTCATTTCCAGTAAATGGATTAATCAGCAAGCAACTAGCAGAAATTTGACGCAGTCTCTGATATCCACGAAAAATGTTAAATAACATCATTATCCAAACCTAATAACATTCAAAACATGAGTATGTATTTTAGTCTGAGTAATTGTATCAGTTAGAGTCTACAATAAAGAAACCACGCAAGCTAGTCAGCAAGAATAAAACACTAGGATACAGCCGTATAGCGGTCATTGACATGTTATTGCAGCCTTTCACATAAGGTCACTTGAAGACTACATCAGAAAATGAAAATCAAAAAGTAAAAGAGAACTATTAGGGTCTATTTGGTTGTTCATTTTTAATAACTTCTTCGCTTTCAATAGTGATATTGAGTTCGAAAATTGAAGGGGAAAAACATTTTTGAAGAGTTAATTTCATGGACAAGAAAGAGGTATGATCCCACAATTCAAGATCTGGTGCAATTCATGAAACGTAGCTCTAAACGAATATTAAAAACACAAATACAGTTAGTAAAGAAAAAGTCGGTTGTTTTCCGGAACAATCTTATATGGTAACACGGGAACAGCCATTGTGATCATGGAAACATTAAGATTTTGCCAGATATGGGAAATGTAAAGGAAAAAAGGATGGTGGATTATTCTACCTAATAGCTAATATTCATAATCACCTTCCTTTTTTATGGCACAATCTTTGGATTAAAAACTTTCCATCGTCCCCATGGAGCAAAGCCCACATGAGCTTCAAACAAAAGGAACAAAAATTTCTCACAGATCATTTGGGAAAACGGGGACAAACAGAAATATGCTTATAAATATCAGCATGCATATAGCCTATGGGTACATTCCACTGAAAGGACATACTGACCTTTTTACATTAAGAAGTGGAGGCTCATCTGGATATTTTCTGTATGTGAGAAAACCAAAGCAAGTTGAACCGCACCAGAAGTTTGGGCAACAAATTATGTTCACAGGGAAATAGAAAACCCTGAACTAAGGGCAGCAATAGAAGTTCATAAAAAATGATAAAATTAATCATGTTTGATGTTGTAAACTTTGTCCATGTCTGAGTATAAATGTGTCAGAAAATGAATATCACACACTACAATTTGTTGGGTTCTAACAAAAGAATAACCTGGTGTTGATTGATCTGTGTCATCATACTGTCAAACACAAAATGTGGAAATTTGGCGAGGAGAAAAATAGTTATCAGGGCATAAGAAATTAGAATTGTGGAGAAGGAATAATGGTATTGAACCAGAAGCTAAGCTTGCAAACATTCTTAATCATTTAAAGGTGCATTGTTACTACTCAGTAAATGGCTCTACGTCTGATAGGTTGTGGCATTTTAAGGTTACCAAAAATGCTAGAATGAAATAAGCTTACACACACACACAAGAAGAAGAAGCAATGACGCAACAAGAGTGGTAGATAACTTTGTCTCCGGTAAAACACACCTGAGGAGATATTGTTATTTGGAAGCATCTATTTGAAGTGCTTAGTCCACTCTCCGCGGAGTGAATTTCTGATATAAAAGAAGCAATCATTACAGGTCAGGAGGGAATGGGAAATTTTAGCAGGCTGAAAGCATGAGTTCAACAAAAGAATGAACCTTTGAATTCATCCATAAGTATTGATTCCAGAGCTTCAATTTCCATCTCCTGCTCTGTTCATGGTCTGTAAACATAGATAAACAATCAATGTTAAAGGAAGCATATCATAAACCTCTCTCAAGACAACACAGATTCTTCTAACAATTGATTGAAAAAAGGTTTAGTATTAAAAGATTAAGCAAATCATATTTCATGTCCTTAGCTAGCTGTTTGGGAAAGAAAGGTAGTTAACATGTATCTTTATGATCAGGGTAGCAGTATTTATTACTGCCCTTGCAGTTTTACGGTTGATAAGTGATTTATCAGGTTGAACAGGTAATATATGCTTGAGATTCTCTAAATTCTGTATTTTAAAGCTTTGTTGCACCATTAATACTAGCTTTGATTTTAAGATATCCATACTTATGAATTAAACTTCATTAAATGTTACGAAACCCAACCCAAAAGCCTCCATGATCACCATTTTATATATATATATATATATATATATATATTCATTCCTTTTCACCCCTCCGAAGATGCCATTGTTGTCTCTGCCGGGTAAAAAAAGAAAAAGCTCATCGCTCATATCGAACTTTGGAGAAACAAAAACAGAATGCATAGATGAACACCCTAACAAAAACAATTGAATTTTAAGAAAGAGGGTAAAAACTCAATCATACAATTTGAGATCGTTGGATGGGCGCTCTCAAAAAACTTGATTAGCAACAGAATAGTATAATTTTATTAGCCAAAAAAAAAAATTACCGGTGATGGTTGTGAATTTGGGACAATATTCCCTTTATGCCTTTTGTTTTTGTTTTCTGGTTTCCTTTTTATGGAAGTTCTTTATTTTGGATTTGATACTGCTCTTCCTCTCAAAGATGATCCAAGGTCAGTATCTCTCCATGAACACTTTCAGCTCGTTAAAACATCAATAACTCACTTCTAAACGCAGCGTATCAGCATTCCTTGTTTCTGTCTTTCTTTCTTTTTTACCAAGAAACGAACACGTACTATGGTTTTGCAATCTAGAACCGCGAATGATCCGAGCTTAAACGAATAAAAATATATTTGTGTTCATTTATTTATTTTTAAAGATATTAATATTTAGTTTGTATTTGTTTAAAATTTTAATATCGTGTTCGTTTATTAATTTATTGAGGTTTATGTGTCCGGGCGGATGCATAAGTATATTTAAGGGGTCAAGTACATATATATTATTTTAGATAAATTATTAAATATAATTCAATATATCAAGGGGAAAAGGGAAAAAAATAATAAAACATGCATGTTCATTTTGTTGAAAAAAAGAATATTAAAATTTTTGACCACTATTTTTTAATTTTTAGATTTATCACTGGTTCACGTTCATTTGTTTAGTATTCACAAACTTATTTGTTTATCGAATTAACGTTCACAAATATATCCATACGAAACATATTCCTTTCACTTTTACGAATATTTTCATTTAACATTCATTCATATATATATATATAAATCAGTTCAGTTTTTGCTATGTTGTGAATATGTTCATTTGTAAGCTAAGAATGGTGAAACCATGCCTCTAGTGCTTAAATTCCTTAAGCTTTATAGTTTAAACTTTAAATTTTATCATGTGGTCAATTTAATTCTTACATTCACTAATATTTAAAATATATAAAATAAGACGTAAATGAACTTATAAACGATCCATTAAACGAGCTTGTTTATGAACATAAATAAACGAGCTTATTCGTGAACACAAATGAATCGAACACATCTTTGCTCGTGATTGTTTATTTATTAAATGAAAAAAATATATTTACACTCATTTATTTAATTTAACAAACGAATAGTTCACCAAACACTCTGATCATTTACACTTTTGTGCTTGTTTTGATAAATAAGCACGGGTTTGCCACGCATCATTTAAAAACTCACCGAATTCCTTGCAGAACACACCAAGAAATGGCCGCATAACAATCTTACAATGACAAAACATTATGCAAAGGATGAAAAAGATTGAGACTTATTGTTTGGAGCAATTATATGGAATCTCAGGATCCATTTAAACAAGATAATGTTGAAACCAGACGATATTAAGGGGGGATCAGTGCTAGAAATTAGTACATGTTTTGTAAGAGGTACGAACCAGGCGAGGCAGCCATCAAACAACACTTGAACTAACACAAGACACGATATAAGGAGCGAAGCTCGATGGAGTAAACCATCAGAGGCTGATTGAAACTCGATACAGACGGAGTACGAAACACTACAAATGGCCATGCGATATGCAGAGGAGCCCTCCGTGATGAAGAGGGCAGATGGGTAACCGGATTTTCTAAATTCATAGGAAACTGTGCAATTTTGGAAACGGAGCTCTGGGGAGTTTTCCAAGGATTAAACAGGGCCTGGGACATGGGAGCGCAAAAGGTTATCCTCCAAACCGACAACGTGAAAGTCAAGAAGCTCTTACAAAGACAAAAAACAAGTTGCACCAGCACATAGATGGGCTGTTAAACAGAAACTGAGAAGTAAAGATTGATAATATCTACCGAGAGAGTAATCGAGTGGCCGATAATTTGACTAGACTGGCCCGAGCAGAGGATGGAAGAAGCCATTTTTTCGAAGCTCCACCGGAGCCCCTCCTCCAGGAGGAAGGATAAATTCTATGGATCGTTTCATAGAAATGATTTGAAAGTTGAAACCTTTGATCTATATAATTTTTTAAAAGAATTCTAATTAGAGAGATAAAAACAGAAGAATGGAAGCTCTCTAACACACTCATTGATTAAAAACTATGTTGAACAACATTGATACTGGACCACGACCAATGTATCGAGAGACTAAAATAAGTTGGAAGATTTTTTTTTCTTTTTGGAGAATATTAAAAATGAATGAGATAAACTTTTTAAAATTAAATTAATATTTATTTAAAATTTAGAGATTAAATTTAAAATTAATTATTTTTATTAACATCTTACGTCATTAATAGATAAAATAATTAAAATATAATAACTTGATCATAAATAATCTAAATATTATTTTTTAATCTTTAATTATTAAAATAATAATAAACGCACACGTAAATGACTTCCGGCTATATTATGCCATTATTTTTTTACTTATTAATAAGTACATATAATTTTCAGTTCTTTCTTCAAGCTTCTATCACAAAAGCCGAGAAAATAAATACCTTTCATTCTTAGTTTTTTCACTTTTCTGCTTTCCCTAGCTCTTTTTATTCTCCGCTCGTACATTTAGCCAAAAAAAAAAAAAAAACAACATAAAATCTTTGACCAGAAAAAATAGATTAAAAGTGAGCATGTACTTAGAAATCTTTCAAGAAAAACTCAGAAAACCGAATTTAATTTAAGAAAAGTGGCAAAAGTGCCAAAAGGTAATCTTCGTATCAGGAAAAAGAGGAAAAATATTTTCCCAGATCCTTATTTTTGGTTGTTTACACTGGCTTTCTCTTTCACTACCCCAGATCCTTTTTCTTTCATGAACCCCTTCAACCTGTTTCAATCTTTTCTTTTATGGGTTTATTTTTGTTTCCTTTCTGGATTTTTAGTCGCATGCAGGATTAACTTTCTGTTCCTATTTATTATTTCTTTTGTTTTAAATTCAGGATTTAGAGGGCGTATACATTTGTCCAAGCAATCAATTATTTTGGATATTTTAGAGTATTAGGTCTGCTTCAAAACGGAGATTAAGGACTGAGTTTGAAAGATTAGATTTATTTAACCATTTATTTTCTTTGGAGTATTTTGTTGGAGGGGGTTTTTTGATGGGGAGCACCGATGAGCCCAACATAAGGGACATTGATGTGTCGGTGGGTGGCTTGGTTTGGGTCCGACGCAGAAATGGTTCTTGGTGGCCGGGTCGGATTATGGGCCTTGATGAGCTCTCCGAGGGTTGTTTGGTTTCTCCAAGATCCGGCACCCCTGTTAAGCTTCTTGGTCGCGAAGATGCAAGCGTGTGAGCCCATTTTTAATCTCTTAATCACCTTTTAGATTTCATTTGGATAGGGTCTAATGGCTTACATTCCCATTGACGATTCATTGTAGTTGTTTTCTTGTATTACATGTATTTGTTTAGTAGTTTGATAGTTTTTTTCAATTTTTTATTCTTTTTATTCCTTGATCAATAATATAATATGAAAGGGGAAGAATTTGCTTGTATTACATATATAAAATCATCTATGGTTCCATTTTGGAGAGAAGATTGCTAGCTTGTGGTTTTGGCCTCGCACTTGTCTTTGTATCTATGGTTTTTGTAGTAACATATGGTGGAAAATGGAGTATTTGAATCAAATTGAAATGCCTGCTTGTTTGCTTTGATGCATTAGGCTTGTTATTTGTGCTTTTAGACGACCATTTAATTCATGAGGTATACTATCTTGGCAATAAAATCTTTTGTGGCTCTCTTGGAACTAACTGAAGCTTTGACTACTGGTAAATTGAGATTTTTTTTATATAGCATTGTTGATTTTATGCTAGACTGTTCTGCATTTTACTCTTTAAGAGCCCTTTAAAAATGTTGTAGTGAATAGTCATTAACAAATTTCTAAATCAGTTAAGTAGTTGAGTGTTTGTTCTGTCACACAGTTGTAGTGAATAGCCCTTTATAAAGGTTGTAACCGTTACTTGTCACCTTTTAGCTTTCGGATTATGTATCGATCCATTAGAAAAATAACTTAATTAACCGATGTTTGAATAAACGACTGCTTTTTTCCTTTTTAGATAATGACAAATTAAGTTCAAGATGTTACCTTTATATACCATCATTATCTTGACTCAACTTCCATCAAATAATTTTTTTATCTAGAATGTTTATCTTTGAAGACTGAAATATGTTGCTTCAACGATCGTCATCAAGTGGAAAGAGTTTACTGTGCTTAGAGTATGTTATAGTTACTTAACTTTCTTGATTAAATCTTCATCATTTTTGGCTTTAGGGACTGGTATAATCTTGAAAAGTCTAAGAGGGTGAAGGCCTTCCGTTGTGGAGAATATAATGAATGTATTGAGAAAGCAAAGGCTTCGGCAGCAAATTCTAACAAGAAAGCAGTGAAATATGCTAGAAGAGAA